CACCCAGATACCCCAACCCAAACCTACTTCTTGAGGAGAGTTACCAGCCCAGGGGTTTTGCCTCTCCTTTTATGTGTAGGGTTCCAGGGATGGTGCCAGGGGAGCAATGGTCTTTTATTCTGGGTATGTATCTCATTTTCAGATTCTCCAGATTTTCTCAAAGGGTGGAAAGCTATGCCCAGCTCTGCTGAGTGGAAAAATACCCAACTTCCCATTTTTATGTACAAAAACTCCTTCATGGTGCTTTTCAGACTAAAGATGAGTAATTTGAACTCAAAGTCACTTAATACTTACCAATAGTTGAGTTGAAGGTAACAGTATAACCAGAAAATCTCCAGTAAACTTATGGGCCACTTCTTAAATAAAGAAGGTAAGTTAGGAAAAATGAAACTGAATACATTTAGAAAATACAACTTTCCAAGAAGCATTAATTAAAAATATAAATCAATACAAGAAAAGTGTAGACATATTCCTAGCATTTTTACCAGAAAATTCTGAAATACATATCTAATATTTTGCAGTAAAATAATGGAAGATAAATATACATGTGAGCAGATAGCCATGAAAAAAATATGTAATCATCTGCCATTGACAATAGAATCCTTGCTTGTGTGCCTGGAGGATATCAGAGCCTGGAGGACACGTGTTCTTACTTCCTCTAGTGACATGCACTAGACTTTTTAGGAGTATCATACTCAAAGTTCTAAGATGACTTTGAAAACACACAAGTTCAAACAGTATCATAGCTTTTTGGACCATTGAGGTAATACATTCCTCTTATCCACAGATGCTACAGTACAGTTTTCCATGTACCAGAGAGTATAACTCTGTCTTCCGCTCCACCTACCACCCTAATTCTTGGCTCCAACCTGTTTAATTCAAACAGAGAATTGCTTGGTGCTTATCTGGCAACTTGTTTAACTGTTGCCTAAGTTTCTTGAGGAAACACAGAAAGCAGGAAAACAGGCTGTCTAAAGGAACAAGTCGGGGGTGGCGGGTTCGAGTGCACATACTCATGATCTGTGTATGCTGGCGAGCACACATTCTCTGATGTTCTCTGTGTCTTAAAAATTCCCAAATCACAAGACCCCAAAATAGATGAACAAAACCTGGCAGAATTGAACAAAAAATAGACAATTTAGTAAGAATAGTTGGGATACTTCAATACCTTATATCCAATAATGGAAATAAAAACAAGAGAAAAGATCAACAAGGAAATAGAGCACTTTATAATATTATAAACAACTAGACCCAGTAGACATCTTTAGAACACTCCACCCAACAACAGCAGAATACTTTTTTCTTAAGTTCACATGGAACATTCTCCAGGATAGACCACAAGTTGGGCTATAATATAAACCTCAATAAATTCAAAAGGAGAGAAATGCTACAAAATACAGTCTTCAACCACAATGGAATGACATTAGAAATCCATAATAGAAGGAAATTTAGGAAATTAACAAGTATGTGGAAGTGAAACAGCACACTACTAAATAACCAATGGGCCAAAGAGGAAACCACAAGAAAAATTAGAAAATATACTGAGATGAATGAAAATGAAAATACAACACACTAAAATTATGAGAAGCTGTGGTAGTAGAGCTGAGAGGGATATTTCTATCTGTAAATGTCTATATTTAAAGAGAAGAAAGATCTCAAACAGTAACTCAAACTTCCACCTTAAGAAATTAGGGAAAGAGCAAACTAAAGCAAGCAGAAGGAAGGAAATAATAAAGACTGAAGTGGAAATAAAATAAATAACAAGAAAAAAAAAACAAAGAAAAAATCAATAAAATTCAAATTTGCTTCCTTGAAAAGATCAACACAGTTGACAAATGTTTAGCTAGCCTGGGCAAAGAAAAGAGAAAGGTTCATATTACTAAAATAAAAAATAAAAAAGGAAACATTACTATCAATCTTACAGAAATAAAAAAGATTATAAGGTAATACAGGAAACTGTTATATGCCAATAAATTTGGTAACCACAATGAAACAGATAAATTCCTAGAAAGACACAAATTACCAAAACTGATTCAAGAACTAGAATATCTGAAAAGTCCTATAAGTAATGAAATTGAAGAAGTAATAAAGTTTTCAAAGAAATTATTAAAAAGACCATCCCAGAAAGAAATCTCAGGATGAGATGGCTTCACTGGTGAACTCTACCAAATGTTTAAAGGATGAACACTGATCCTTTACAAATTCTTCTGTAAAGTGGAAGAGGAGGGATTATTTCCTAACTTATTCTATGTAGCCAATTATTACTGACTCCAAAACAGGTAGACATCAAAAAAAGGAAAGCTACAGACCAATATCTCTTATAAATATAATAAACCCTCAACAAAATATGCTAAACTCCTCAACAAAATACTAGCAAATTGAGTCTAGCAACATATAAAAAGTATACCATGACAAATGAGATTTATCCCTGAAAAGTGAGGTTGGTTCAATCATATGTTGATTACATAATAATGTTGACTACATAATAATGTTGATTACATAATAATGTTGATTACATAATAATCAACCATGTAATCTACCATATCGATAGAATAAAACCACATGATCATCCCAACAGACATAGAAAAAGTGTTTGAACAAAATTACTCAACAAGTTAGGAATAGAAGGGATCTTCCTTAGCCTGATAAAGAGCATCTATGAAAAACCCACAGTTAATATTATGCTTAATTTTAAAAAAATGGGGGGGGTATCTGGGTGGCTCAGTCAGTTAAGCATCCGATTTCAGCTCAGGTCATGATCTCACGGTTCATGGGTTCCAGCCCCACATCAGGCTCTGTGCTGACAGCTAGCTCAGAGCCTGGAGCCTGTTTCGGATTCTGTATCTCCCTCTCTCTCTGACCCTCCCCTACTCATCCTGTATCTCTCTCTCTCTCAGAAATAAAAAAAAATTTAAAAAAAAGACTAAAAGTTTTCCCCCTCCTGTCAAGACTAAGACAAAGATATCTGTTTTCTACGCTTCTATTCAACATTCTACTGGAGGTTCTAGCCTACTACACTGGAATTAGAATTAAAAATAAATTAAATGAAAACAATTCCGTTTATGATAGTATCAAAACAAATAAAATTCCTAGGAATGAATTTAGTAAAGTAAGTGCAAAATGTATACTCTAAAAACTACAAATACTATTGAAAGAAATTAAAGAATATCTGAATAATGGAAAGAATCCCCATGATCATGATTGGAAAGCTTAATATTGTTGAGACGCCAATACTGTCCTAATTGATCTACAGCTTAAATGAAATCCCTACCAAAATCCCGGCAGACCGTTTTTGCAAAAATTGATAAGCTGCTTTCAAAATTTATATGGAAATGCAAGAGATCCAAAACAGCCAGAACGATTTGAAAAGTAGAATATAATTAAAGAATTTGAATCAAATTTCCCAATTTCAAAACTGTAGCTTTGTAGCTACAGTAAGCAAGACAGTGTAGTCATAAACATCATTGGAATAGACTTCAGGTTCCAGAAAAACTCCTTGTGCGTAACTTAAGTTAATTTGGGGGAATCAGATGAGAATAGGGAAAATCATGGACAGAAACTAGATTAGCAGTTGTCAAAGGCTAGAGAGAGCTGGAAATGAAGAGTTGCTGTTAATGATTACTGGGTTTCGTTTTAGGTAATGAAAGTACTCTGGAATTATATAGCAGTGATAGTTACGCAATTTTACAAATATCTTAAAATCCACTGGATCACACACATCCTAAGCAATAAATGAGTGAATAAATAAATTAATATTCTAAGTTATTCTCCTACTTCTGGGCAATTGTTGAAGTTTATCCTATTAGATAATTATGTCTAAATGTGTATATTCACCCCATATAGACTGTAAGATGCTTGAGGACAGGAATTCCATATTATTCACTTTTGCACCAAGCAAAATATTTGTACGTAGTAGGAGATCGATAAACACTTGTTAAAAAGTTGGTATCCCCAACACTTCAAGTGGCCTGACACTTTTATTTCCCAAAGAGCCTTCAAGATAGCTGAGATAGACTCCAAAACTGCTGAGCCAGCCTCTCCCTCTCCCCTTCGAGATTTGCAGCAGTTGCTTGGCAAGTAATTAGGACCAAGAGCTTGTTTGTGTCAATGTTGATTTTATTCCATTCTTTGAAGAGCTGCTTTGCTAGAACGTTCTTCGTCAGGAGTTCAGTCATTGACATCTCTGTTGTGCTCATCTTCCAGGCCTCCCAGGACGCTACTACCAATAATCCAGGCTTTCTTGTCCCCTTTCCCTCTCTCACCTGTCCATCTGCATCTCCTGTCTTCTGCATGTGGAGCTCTGTAGCTGAACAATGAACACTTTCTCCATCTTCGTAGTCTCAGGCTGGTGGTGCCAGGCTGCCGGTCACCTCCATGATCTGCTTTGACATGCATTCATTTATTCGCTCACGTGTTCAATAAACACATACCCTCCATTGTTCTAGTTACTGTTGCTCTGATTACATTGTATGTTTATTCAATGACGTGGGAATGGAGTGTTTGTTTGCTCATGCGGCTGAAAGAATTTATGTCGCATAGATAAGAATGTTAGAATTTGTGTTTATATGTGCTGATACCTAGTGATAAACTAGCCGACTCCCTGATTAATAATTTCCATATGTGAAGGATTTTGCAAACCGAATCAACTCCTTTTCATCTACTAGAGGCACTAGTATTTTAATCAATCCCAATTTCAGATCCATCTTTCAATTGAAGCAAATTGCTATCTGTCGCTTGGGTTGCACCGGCTTGGGTTTCTGTCGCTTGGTTTCAGGGTTACCGTTACCTTCACAGCTTAAGTCAGAAAAGAAAAAAAAAGTGTTGAGCATTAGCATCTTGCTTATAACCGTATTCATGCCGTATGATTGCTGGCAGCTCTCCAGAAAATTTGGCCTGGTTTCTAGAAGCCTCTTCAGTCTGTCCTATTAAAAGATGCACCATAATTTAATCAATTCAAGGGTTTGATGATCTTCGCCTATTTTTTTTTTTCTTTTTAATAGTGCAACAAAATCCTGCATTCCCACTTGACGAGGGCCCCTGAAAAACTGCAAGGTGTCTGATGGGGTTCTCTTCAATCAGCCTGGAGCTGCCCAGAAGCTCCCAGTGTGGGGCTGTTGGAGCAGAGAAGGCTTGGACTAGCAGACCCCAGCTCCCAGCTGACAGATCCAGCTTCTAAAGAGACTGCGTAGAGCTTGCTCAGACCTGCCTCTTTCTCTCACTTTTCCTTAAACAACCATTAGTCCCATTTTGTAACAGCTGCCTGCAGAGAAGAGACACCAACTTTTTTTTTTTAAATCAAGTCTTATTTGGTGTTCATGTACAGCTGCCTAGTGGGCTCTGGTGCCTCTCAGATTCTATGTTTGGTATCAGAACAAGCCTTCTTCTGTCCACTCAGACCCCTCTCCATTCTGGTAAGGAAATGTCTACACCTGAAGGCCCAAGTGGTTTCAAATCCTGAAATCACTTCGGGTCATTTTACAGCTGGAAGTTGTACGGCTTGGAGCCTTGTTACTCAAAATTTCATCTGTGAATCAGTAGTGTCGGCAGCATGTGAGTCTTTGCGGATTATCTGCCCCTGCTCCAGACCTATACAGAGTCGGCATCTCTGGGGGAGGGGCCCAGAAGTCAGCCTTGTAACAAGCCCTGATTCTGACGCACACTGAATATTCAGAAGCTCTGGCACGTTATCCCGTGCCATTATTTTTTTTAAGTTTATTTATTTATTTTGAGGAAAGATAGAGAGAGTGAGCAGGAGTGGGGCAGAGAGAGGGGGAGAGGAAAGAATCCCAAGCAGGTTCCTCCCTCTCAATGCAGAGCCCAACATGGGACTCGATCTCACCAACCTCTAGATCATGACCTGAGCTGAAATCAAGAGTGGGAAGCTTAACCCACAGAGCCACCCAGGCGCCCTTACCCTGTGCCATTCTTAATACTCTTGCCTAAAACCTGGTCACCTCTTTCATAGACCCTCGGGGCTGGATTCCTGCTGAGTTGTTTCTGGTCTCTGACACCTGTTTCCCTGAGGTTAGGTTCCTGATTCCAGCCTCCATTGCCCTCTCTGGACTGGACTCCGTACCTGATACTGCTTCCCTGTGTTCATTCACTTGTTTCTCTCGAGGAAAGATTGGTTGGCTGGATCTCTAACCTGTTTACTTAAGATAGCCTCTGTTATGCTTCCTTTCCAACCTACCTTCATGCCTACAGCCACTCCTGACCTGACCGTAGAGGACAGAATCCATACAAGAAAGCCTGCAGGCATGGTGCCCATTAGCACAGGTCTCCACACTGTTCCCTGTGCTGTGTGTCTTTCCCTGTCATTGTCTTTCTTTCACGAAGCTGCAGCTGTTCTCCTAAAGAACACGGATAGTATTTTCTGCTTTAAAACTCCTGCAGACCCAGTTTTTGGCAGCATGGAATCCAAACTCCTTAGCATGACATCCAAAGCTGTATCTAACGTTCATCCTCAAGTTCATCACTGTTGCCTCCGTTCAGCTGCAGCCTTATGCCTCTGACAAGTCACTTGTCTGCCTCAGTGACTTTGCACCTGCTACTTCCTTTGTTTCTATCACTTCTCTCCCTGCTTTTCCAGCAGGCAAATGCTAACTAGTCTTTCAAGACTCTATTTGATTGCCATCTTTTTTGATACGGGCCTATCCTCCTCTTCCAGGCTGACTTACCTGCACTCTCCACAGGTCGCTTCGTTCATGGCTCTTTTTTTACATGTTTTTTAAAATGTTTATTTATTTTTGAGAGAGGGAGAGACAGAGCACGGGCAGGGGAAGGGCAGGGAAAGAGGGAAACACAGAATCTGAAGCAGGCTCCAGGCTCTGAGCTGTCAGCACAGAGCCTGACATGGGGCTCAAACCCATGAGCCATGAGATCATGACCTGAGCTGAAGTTGGTCAATTAACCAACCGAGCCACCCAGGCGCCCTGCATGACTCTAATTTCACCAGTTGTGATGCTGTGTTTGACTTGCCAGTTTATACATCTTCTGTGCAAACTGGAAGCTGTTTGTGAGCAGAAATAATGTCTCATCTTAACTGAAGTACCCAGAGCTTCGTATACTTAATGCGCACATTGTAGTAATTCATGAATACTGTCAAAATACTGTCAGATGAATATTCAGATTCTTAACACATGTGCCCCCAAAGAATATTGCTGGACATCAATCAAGTCAGGTTATCACTGTAATAAGGAAGCTTGCTTTAGAAAGTTTCATGGAGTAAACTCTTTGTAAGTCAGAGGTACATTTTCTAAAGAATGGCTTTGTGTCTCAAGTCAACTTTGACTGCTATAACAAAGTAACATAGATTCAGTGACTTAAACAACAGACTTTTTATGTCACAGTTTCTGGAGGCTAGGGGTCCAAGATCAAGTTGCCAGCAGATTTTGGTTTTGGTGAGTGCTCTCATCCTGGCTTGCGGACAGCTGCCTTCGCAATGTGTCCTCACATGGCAGAAAGAAAGTTCTAGCCTCCCTTCCTCTTCTTATAAGGAAGGGCACCACCTTCATTACCTCACCTAATTACCCCCACCTCCAAATATTATCATTTTGGGGGGTAGGGCTTCAACATATGAATGGAATAGCAGGGAGACAAGCAAACATTCATCTATAACATTATGTAATATAAAATAACCAACTCCTAATTTCTCTGTGTCATATTTTCATGTATAGGTTTATCCTAATTTAGTAATATGAGTATTATTTTTCAAGAATATTTGCGATATTACTGTCTTTCTAATTCAGGGAGTTCCTTGCCAAAATTTGAGTAACTCAGGATTTGTTTTATTACAACCTCTGATAGAATAGGATGCCTTAGAAAAAGACAAGAGATGGTATGCAGGTTGTAACTTGTGGGTATGTGTGATTTTTAATTAAAAAATTCTTTATAAAGCTTAATTTTTAATGTATGCAATCAAATCGTGTAGGTTTTTATGAAGAGAGATACAATCTAAATAATTTAAGATACTACTCAACTAAGGAAAGTTGTTCAAGGAAAAATTCCATGTCACCTAAAATGTGTATATAATATTTTCATGTGTGATTTCATTTGAGCCAGCCAGCAAGTGTGTGGTTTCTAACTGATAGATAAAGAGTGGTTCATAGTGTTTGTGACTACGTGCCCACTAGGGCTGTATAGTGCATGACCGTTCTTGATGGCCTGGTTGTGAAATAGAGGGTTTGTCCTACATCATGGACAGATCTCTACTAGTTCTTAATTGGGTTTCACCTATACCAGAGATTTAGCCCTGGCTGCACATTAGACCAATTAAACATACTCTCTGGGAGTAGGACCCAAGTATCCACTTTTCAAAAATTTATGGGGGAATTTTATTGGTTATGATGATCGTGGGAGGGTGGTACCCCTGGCATTTGGTAGGCAGGGCCCAAGAACGATTTCCTTCCTATACTTTATGGACCAATTCCTTAAAGAATTGTCTTGTATCCTGCATCATTTTTTAATATCTTCCTGTTTTTTTCATGTTGCTAAAGAGAATTGTTTATAATTATCTCATCCTGAAACCTAATTCTGTTCTACATATAAATATATGTAAATATATGTAAAAATATAAAAGTATTTTTGCCAATGTAATAAATACTGAGTTTTTCAGGAATCCAACTAACAAATGGAAGATTGTTCTCTTTTTTTTTTAAATTTTTAAGTTTATTTATTTATTGTGAAAGAGAGAGATAGAGAGTGCGAGTGGGGAAGGGGCAGAGAGAGAGAATCCCAAACAGAATCAGCACATAGCCCAGTGCAGGGCTCAAACCCACGAACTGTGACTTGATGAACTGAGCCAAAATCAAGAGTCGAATTTTTAACTGACGAGCCACCCAGGTGCCCCCAGAAGATTCTTTCCTAAATTCAGACCTTTACTGAGAGTTCTTAAGACAGTACAGCATAGAAGTTAGGAACATGGATCCTAGAGCCAGTTCGTCTGCGTTCACCCGCTGATACAACCACTTCCTAGTTCTGGGACTTTGCACAAAATGCTTAGCTTTTGGGTACCTCAGTTTCTTCATCTGTAAAACAGAGATAATAACAAAATCTACCTCAGAGAGTCTTATGAGAAATAAAGGAGTGAATATATGTATACCAGCTCGCTTTGGATGCATGAAAAACTCCCAAACTTTATAGTTTAAAACAATATTTAGCTCAATTTGGGTTGACAATTTGCTATGGGCTCAGCTAAGTAATTCTCATGCTGGTCTCACCAGGAACATTCATGTTCTGGAAGTCAGGTGGCAGTCTGGTGGGTCCTGGGAGGCCTCACTCACATGTCTTACACTTGGCTTGGGCGACAGAGCCATGCATCCCCAACATCTAGCAGTGTCACCTGGACTTCTCCATGTGGTGGCTGGGCTCTAAGGGCTAGAAATGTGGGGTCACACACAAGTACTTGAGCATTTTTTAAGCCTTTTCTTGTGTCACATTTGCTGATGTCTCATTGGCCAAATAAATTACATGGCCAAGTCCAGAATCAAGAGGCAAAAAAATAGACTCTACCTATTTGGGAGAGGAGCTTCAAAATATTGTGCTCATCTTTGAAAATTACAGTCGGCCCTTGAACAATATGGAGGTTGGGGTATCAATCTCGACCCCAGTAGAAAATCTGCATAGAACTTTGAATCCCCCAAAACTTAACTACTAATAGCATGCTGTAAAAGCTTACCAATAAGATAGCCAACTAAAGTGTGTTTTCTGTATTATATGAATTGTATACGGTATCCTTACAATAAAGCAAGCTACAGAAAAGAACATGTTGTTAAGAAAACCATAAAAAGAAAACATATCTGCAGTACTGTACTATATATGTATGTATATATATGTATATATGTGTGGCGTGTGTGTGTCCATGTATAAGGGGACCTGCACAGTTAAAACCCATGCTGTTCAAGGTTCAGCTGTATATGAAAACACAAAACACTTAGGATAGTGGCTAGTGCATAGTAGGCAGTCTATAAGTAAGTGTTAACAGTATACATGGCAATACGTGTACAGGTGCTTTATAACACAGTCCCCATTGTACTTACTTTGAGTGAAAATTACAGTAAATTATAAAATTCAAAGTACAGACAGGAAATAGAACCAGAATGAAATGTTCTCGCCCAGTTCTAATATATGGAAAAAATAGTAATTCTGCAAAATTTCCAAAGCCTACCTTCACTTACAAGAGGCTGTTCAGATTTCTGTATTTCAGCATGGATTCGTGGGCAGGCTCCTGAATTCTGGGATCAAATTGCCTACGTTAGAATTCTAGTTCACTGCTCTCTGGCTGGGTAACCTCAGACAAATTACCTAACTACCCTAAGTCTCAATTTCTGCATCTGTAGTATTGGAGAAACGGCGAGTTTTAATTCCTGAGGTCCTTGTGAGGGCTAAATGAAGCATAATAAAGTGCTTCTGGCATATAGTAAGCACCCAATAAATGTGAGCTATTATTTTTCTTAATGTTTTAGGTATCAAAACTCATCTGGTACAGTTCAGAGATTTAAGTCTTGGAGGAACATTGGAACTACCTGAGAAGCATAAAAATACTGATACCTGTCTTACTCCAGAGATTCTCATGTAAATGGTCTGGAGGGAGGCTTGGAGGTGGGGGGAGGGGTTGAAAGCTCCTAAGGTAGTTCTAATGTGCTGTGGAGCACAAGTCTATTAAAGAGGATATTACAGGTGATCCAGGGCTAACTTTTCCCTTCTTAGATAAGAACGCTGACACCCAAAGAGGTGACAGCAAGTGCTTAATGACAGCCAGGCGTT